AGGGAAAGCCCACTCACGCGACATGTCGCGCGCGACTGATCGCGCGCGGCAATACTTTTGATGTTTTTAAATGACCACGCGACAGAACCGCGTTAATGGGCTTTGAGTCATTTAAAAACATCAAAAGTATTGCCGCGCGCGTTCAGTCGCGCGCGACATGTCGCGTGAATGGGCTTTCCCTCTTAGTGTTACACTTTTTAATGATTCTGCCTAAGATGGGTCTCTACATATGGTAGAAGTATGTAAGGTTCAAGTCTAGGAGGAGGCTGGCACACCCTATATACATAATACAGATATATATTTCTATCAGAATACAATGTAATATTTCTGCTTTTTGTATTCGAATAGAAATATATTACAGAGTGGCCCAAAAGTCTGGAAACGGCCTATTATCTCGTAAATTGCTAGTCCTAATTGTACAAAAATTGGGGTACACCTATTTTGGGATACGGTGATTCCAGATTTGATATTTGCAATGTTGTCAGATTAAATTACTAGTCACTTTGGTTTTTTTAATTCATCACCCTGTATATTCAGTCATTATTGGAATCTCCTACTCAATACGAGTTCAACCATATGTAACACTTTATGATTTTATGTAGTCTGGAAGGTCTTAAAAAAATAAAATAAGTCTGGCAACGCCAAATTGTCTCAATAAATTTTTTAATACAAACTATTTTCAACTACATTAAAACGTAACAATTGAAAGATTGTAACATTTTTAACATAATGGTTACTTAATCAAGTGTTCAAAATGTGCTTCATTTGTGAGTTGACAGTACCCTAATCGATGTTAGAATGCGTCTACCACATTTCTCCATGATTGTTTTATTTATTTAAGTCCTTCCAGACTACATAAAATCATAAGTGTTACATATGGTTAACCTCGTATTGAATAGGAGATTCCAATAATGACTGAATATACAGGGTGATAAATTTGAAAAACCAAAGTGACTAATATTATAAGAGAAACGGCAAATCCGGCAACATTGCAAATATCAAATCTTGAATCTCCGTATCTCAAAATAGGTGTATTTCAAATTTTGTACAATTAGAATTAGCAATTTACGAGATAATTGGCCGTTTCCAGACTTTTGGGCCACTCCGTATATTTGTATTAAGTATATATGGTGCGTTTTTCAAAAGTAGCCTCCGTAGCCCCCTCGTAGACTAGGCCACGAGCCGCCTCTGGGTTCAGCATAACTCACCCTGTATAATATGCTAAAATGTTGGTAAATCTAGGTAGGTAAATTCGTAAAGAAATTGAAAACCGAAAGAATACACCTACAGGGTGTTGAATTTAAAAACGGAGTAAATTGAACTCAAAATGATCCACGTTTATTGTAGGTTTCAAAACACTCTGTATACAATGAATAATTTCTGTAACTGAATACCAAAATAATAGTCAGTAATTAAATGTGTGAATGCTGTCATATTATGTCATTGAGCCAAAATTTAGAGTAGTCTGTAATTTAAACAATTTTAAATTTTGATAATTTTATTTCTCTAATTTTACACAAAAGTTAATTGCAAACCTGTAATATTTTTTAAAAACAATGTAGGGGTTAAATACACTATTGCCTAGCCAAATTTCTTATGTATTTTAAATAGCTTTTTAATATTTTAATTTTGGTTATAATTTTAGTACATATTAATTATTGAGGTTGAGTAGAAGAGTAACTTTCACATTTTGTTTATGTAAATCTGAAAGCTAAATTCTACCTTTTAGCAAATCATTTTTATTAATTCGAATTTTTATTCAGTTTGTAATTTTTATATGACAATAAAATTATATTTATTTGTTCTGTATCTGTAACGTGTGGAGGGTGGGTTATCCCACGGCACTTAGGCCTCATTAGGCTCATTGGACATCCTCCTGAGATGATAGGCACCTCCTAGCTCGTGAGCCAGATAAAAAACGTAACAGCCTATATAACAAAAAAAAAATCTTTTTAAAGTATGCTTTTGTCAAATCCATATATCCTTTACTTGAAATTGTACATAAATTCCGTCAAAATTTTAAAAACTGTTAAATATTTAAATACGCGAAAATTGCTTAAAAAAAACAATTCATCTTTATACACCCATAAAATATTAACTCGAAACATTTTTCTATATACACTCATTGCCAACGAAAATGCTGAAAAATTTAAATTTTATACTTTCCCTCCAATTTTTCTATTACGGTCCATTTTAGAGAAATCATGTAAAAAACCAAAATGATAGAGATCGATATCGCAAACATCTTTTAGTTTAACAATTTTCTTAAAAATCAGAATTTTTTATATTTTGATAATTTTTTCGAATACGAACCATTTTAAGAAACTTTTGTATAAAACAAAAATTATAGAGAATAATATTAGAAGTGACTTTTATTTAAAGAATTTTCTTCTCCAAATGTAAATAACAGATATATTTCATAAAATATAAAAATTACCCCCCATAAAGTACCCCCCCAGATGTTCCGACTCTGCCCAAAATCTAATTAGTTCACCTCAGGTCGGAATAAAGAATAAGTTTAAAATTTAAGGATTTTTTTATCCGTTTTTGAGATTTCTTCAAAATTCAAAATTTACATTTTTTCACAATATCTCGAATACGGTCCATTTTAGAGAAATTATGTATAGGACAAGAATTATAGAAAATTATATCGTAAACAAGTTTTATTTAAACAATTTTCTTAAAAATTTGAAATTTTACATTTTGTAAAATTTCTCGAATACTGACCATTTTAGGAAAAATTTTTACACAACAAAAATTATAGAGCATATTATAAGAAATAACTTTTATATGAACAATTTTCTTCTCGAAACAAAAATAACTAATATATTCCATAAAATATAAAAACGACCCTCTTTATATTGAGGGATACTTTATAGTATCCCCCCAGATGTTCCGGCTCTGCCGAAAATCTAATCAGTTCACCTCAGGCGGGAATAGAGCCTTAAGTTTAAAATTTAATTTTTTTCTTTGTCTGTTTTTGAGTTTTCTTTAAAATTCGAAATTTACAGTTTTTCTCAAATATCTCGAATACGGTCCATTTTAGAGAAATTATGTATGGAACAAAAATTATATAGAATTATATCACAAACAACTTTTATTTAAACAATTTTCATAATTTTTTTTTATATTTTGTCAAATTTCTCGAATACGGAACATTTTAAGAAAATTTTGTATAAAACAGAAATTATGGAGAATAATATAAGAAGTAACTTTTATTTGAAGAATTTTCTTCTCCAAACGTAAATAACAGATATATTTCATAAAATATAAAAATGATCCCCCATAAAGTACCCTCCTAGATGTTCCGACTCTGCCCAAAATCGAATCAGTTCACCGCAGGCCGGAATAAAGCTTATGTTTAAAATTTGTGTTTTTCTTTGTATCCGTTCATGAGTTATCGTGGATACAGATACACACACAGACATCATCGCGAAAATAGTTAAAACGGATTCAGGGGACCCCAAAAATTAAAATCCGTCGAAAAAATCATGATTCCTATACTTTCCTTATCTATATACAGTATACAGATAGTAAAGTAAAAAGCAATTAATCTTTATTCACTCGTAAAACATTAAATAATCTTTTTTGTCTGTTTTTATGGAATTAAGGCTGTATGTCACGATACTAAATTAAGTACTAAATTTAGCACTAAATTAAGTTATTAATTTAGTACTAAATTTAGAACTAAAAATATTTTTTTTCCGTTTGCAACGATACCAATTTTTAGTACTAAATTTACTATAGGCGCACGAGCATTGACGTATTAATACGTGAAATTAGCAGAGAAATGAAATCTGTGTAAGTGTTTTTATTATCAATTTGATACTATATAGTTGACTTGACAACAACCAAATACAGCATAAAAACCACGAAAAAAACACAATAAAACCTACAAAATCAAACAAGCGAACTTTATTCAAGGCGATAATGTAAAATTGTCGCTAATTAAAAGGGTACAGAAAATACCGTCGTGTCAACTTTTTCTATGAAAAACTACTGCGCAACATTTCGGCGCACTTTTAGTACTAAATTTAGTAGAAAATAGAACAAGATCTAATTAATTAATTACTTTTTTTAGTACTAAATTTAGTACTAAATTTGCTGTTTGCAACGTGAATTTTTTTAGTACTTAAAAAATGCATTAATTTAGTTCTAAATTTAGTACTTAATTTAGTATCGTGACATACAGCCTTTAAGCACTAATGAATTTGATCATAATTTTTAAAACTATTAAATATTAAAACATCCGAAAATTGTTTTAAAAATCAATTCATCTTTATACATCTATAAAATATTAAATGATATTTTTTCTTTTTTTTATGTTGATAAAATATTGGAATTAGGCAATTGAGCACCAATGAGAGCCTGTATATAAACTCGATCAAAATTTTGAAAACTATTAAATATTTGAACACTAAAATTTATTTAAAACACAATAAATTATCTTTTTTTGTTGTTTTTATAATCATAAAATATTGAAATAATTTAAAAAATTTCATATTAATTTAAAATTTTTGTCAAATTGGCGAAATATTAAAAAAAAATTCGATTAATTAAACTGTAAATAAATAAAAAAAGTATCCTTGCCCCATTAAAAAAAAATATTAATTTTTTTGTTAGGTCAATAAAATATTTGAATAATTAAAAAAGTTTCCTGTTAATTTAGAATTTTTGTTAAACTAGCGAAATATTTGAAAAAAAGCAAATCACCTGTAAATAAATAAAAGTACAGAAGTATTTTTTTGTTATGTTAATTAATTATTAGAAAAATTGAAAAAAAAATTTCAAAGTTAATTTCGAATTTTTGTCAAATTGGCGAAATATTAAAAAAATGCAAATAATTAAACTGTAAATAAATAAAAGTATCCTTACCTCATTAAAAAAAAAAAAAATAGGTAATAAAAGACCAAATTTTAGTCAATATTTACATCACCTTTATTCTTAATCATAAATATCATTGTAGGTAACATTGAAGGAACTACAGTATTTAAAGGTAATCATCATTTTAATTGTACTTAATATCAACTTATATATTACGCCTGTAAAAACTGTACATAAACTACATGTAATGAATTTTTAACACATCGTAATCATATAATTTGGTTTAGAGCTAAAACAGCCTTATGTCAAGTGTTTTATACAAATTCATTTTTTAATTAAACTAATCTCACTTTCTTTTCACTTTGGCTTTGTTTTGGAGGTCACAGTTTTTTCTGTCCACGCCACTTTTCACGTTATTTAACAGCGTTTTAAACTGCATTATTTGTACTGCCGTTACTGACGGGTCACTACAGGATTCCAACCATTTCAAGAATTTCTCACCGTGTTCAACAGCTTCACTTTGACTTAAAGTATCGTCGTCTTCTTTAGATTGGTTTTTATCCGAAGGAAGATTATCATTATTATTGTTATTGAAGAGTAAGTTGTCCAATACTGATCTGACTTTAATTCCAGTTTTATCGTTTTCTTTTTGTCTGTTATCTGTTGTGTCTCTCATTGATAGGTTTTCAGCGTTCTGTTGATCTGTAATAATAGGAGGAATTGGAAGAGTTACAGGTTCTTTTTGTGATGCTTCTTTGGTTAGTTGTTGGTATAATATGTTTTTAGTTTCTTGTTCCTTATAACCGAATTGTTTGTACCATTTCCAAAACCAGGAACTTTGATCTGAGTTAATTCCGTTACTGCTCGATGGTAAAGTATTAACGATTGGAGTCGATACTCCGTTACTAGTTGATGAGGTTGTTGATACTGGCACGTTTAATACTGATTGTTGGGATTTGAGCCAGTACCAAACTGATTCTTGTACAGAATGGATATCTTTCGGTAAATCGTGTTCTGTATGTAATCCATTGTTATTTGATGATGATACTGCGTTGGAGGATTCTGCAATTTTAGTTGGTTTGTTATTAGATTGTAGTGCTTTGAGTTGTTGTTGCTGGGCTAGTAGTGCGTTCCATTGAGCTAGTAATGAAATGTTTGAACTAAAATCGTTTAAAGTTAGTGAGGTATTCAAGTTCGGTATAAACATTTCTGGTCTGTTAAGTCCGAGTTCGATACTCAATCGTGCTAATTCGGCTCTATTGCGTTCCCTTTCTGATAGGCTGGATTTCGGAGTAGAGTCGGTGTTTAAGTTGAGTAGGATGTTGGCGGAATCGTTAGCGTCTGTGATGACCGGTGGGGTTGGTGTGTAAGAGTTGTGATGATGAGTCTTCATGCTTAGATTGAACGGTTGATGTGGTTCTTCTAATTTTGGTTTCTTGTTTGCGATGTGGTCTAAAGATTCGTCTGTTTCGGGACTGGATTGTCGGGATAAATACGATATTTTATCCTCGTTTTTGCACCATCCTCTTAGAGTTGATTCCGGAACACCGATGTCTCTGGCGACAGAAGCTTTACTTTCACCGTCGTGCACTCTTCGGATAGCGTCTAATTTTTCGTGAGCCGTTAATGAACGTAGAGGACGTTTGGTAGCTTTAGCAGACATCGTAACGTTTACGGAATATCACAACAATGAGACACGTGGTTGCACGCCAATGAAAAGTGTCCGATTGAGTGCGCAGTTCAAAAAAGTCATAAAGTGAAAAGTTTTCTGAAACAAATATAAAGTTGCCGCAAAGTTTTGACGAATGCACACTGGGAAACGAACCGCCGGCACGAAAGTTTGAAACGCACGCGCTGCAACGCTGTTATTACGAATTTTTTCGCGCTATCACAGGATCATCGTTAATTAGAAGCAAAAGGGCCGCATACCGCACAGGACGAACTGTTAGTAAGGAATAGTTTCTTGTGAATCTAAACCGGTGGTCAGTTTCCTTTGTCCAGCCGATCAATACCAACGACGGACTAGCGCGAACTGAGCGCAGGGCCAGGCGATAGGGAGGTAGGTTCGTTCGCGGGTCCCCGCGTGATAGCTTGACGTGACACCCTCCCAGTCCTCCCACCCCCTTAGAGGGACAGCGAGCCTCTCGGGAAGAATTTCTCTCGCAACGGAGCGCGAAGAGACGCCGCGTTTACGCAGCCCAAGTTTCGCATCCTAGACCTCGACCGTTTCTATCCCATCGGCCTTCTCTCTACACTCTTACTACTCACTGGCCCTTTTTTTTCGTTTATCGTTTTTATTTCACGTGTTCGAACAGCTGATACATCTGCTTTTCTTTTCAGCATCGTCACGAGAGAATTTTAAAAAATAACCCTCTCCTCTCTTTCTCTCATTGTATTCGTTTACCTTTTCAGGCGAATCTAATGCTTTTTAAGAATTTCATTCTACATAGACAACTGTTGCTTTTTATATCCGGCAATTTCGCACCCTACGATATTTTATAGAGGGTTTTTACGATGAACATCAATTAGGCGTTTCTCTGGAGCTATTGTAAATAGAATTATGATTTATATGATGTGTTTATTTTTTGGAAACAGATATTTAAAATACATTACTGAGTTTATTGCTTGTAATATAATAATTTAAGATCTTTTTTATTAATACTGATGAATAAAAAAATGGTCCTGTATGTATATAATTTAAAATTTAGATAGAATAGATATTATATTATTTGATTAGTAAGAAAGCGCAGAATGGTTACAAAATAAATTTTTCTGAGATAGTACTCCGAAAATTCGATTTTTTTCTATTTAGAACTCAGAAAAACAATATTTCTGAATTGTGATCTCTAATAATTGATTTATCCACCTAAAACTAAAAAAATACGAAGTTTTTTACTTGTAATCTGAATAATATATTTTTTCTATTTAGAAATACTCGGAAAATATAATTTCTTCTCCGATTGACAATAAATGTCACTATTAGTAACATTTCTCGATCACAGAAGTAACACTTTTACTGTCTAGGCATTAAAAACTTACTTTTTTCTTTTCTCTTCTGAAGTCTGGCTCTGCATAAGCATCCGGCCAAAAAAGTTACTCAAATAAATTAACTACAAAGTTGTTATAAATATATTTATATTTGTATAAGAATTGAAGGAATATAGTAATATAGTTATAAAAACAATAGAATAAATATTTAAAATGCGTGAGTTATATACATTATACTTAAAAGAGGTTTACATTTTAGTTCATTTTTTAAACACACTGTATAAATAATCGGAGAAAAAATTATGTTTCACACGGCAGAGAAACAGATTTACTGCCTTGGCTAGTTTTATTGCCTCGGCTTCGCCTCGACAATGTAATGCTAGCCTCGGTAGTAAATCTGTTACTTATCTGTTTAGTTAAACAAATAACTATTTCTTATTCCTAACTCAATAATATTTCTTATTTCCGATTCAAAAAATATATATTCTTCACTTATAACTCAGAAATGTGAATTCTAATAAGTAATTGATACTTTTTTCAACTAAGAACTCAAAAATGCGATTTTGTTTTACTTGTGACTCCTAATAATATATTTATATCAACCTAGAACTCAGAAATAATTATTTTTTTGACATGAAACTCTGAATTATATATTTTTCCTACGAAGAAATCAGAAAATATAATTTTTCTAATTTTCAACTCAGCAAAATATATTTTTTCAGCTTAAAATTCGGAAAAATCTATTTTTCTAACTTGTGGCTTCTAATAATAGATTTTTTCGACTTATAAGTCAGAAAATAAAATTAATTTTTCTTACTCGTATCTCCAAAAAATTAATTTTTTTCTTACTTGTAACGTTTTTTACTTAGTCCTCAGAAAATTTTTATTATTTCTGACTCAAAAAATATTATTTTTCTTATATTCCACGCAGATAAATATATTTTCTGACTTGTGACGCCTAATAATATATATTTATATTGACCTAGAATTCAGAAAATACGATGTTTCGGACTTCGATTCTGAATACTAGATTTTTGACATAGAACTGAATTGATTTTTCTGAATTATATATTCAAATAACACATTTTTTGTGCTTCTGAATAATATATATTTCTACTCAGATCTCAGAAAATGTAATTATTTTTGTTCCTAACTCAAAGTATTATTTTTTCTACTTAGAATTAAAAAAAAAAAAACGTTTTTTCTGACTTATGACTGCTAATAATTGATATTTTTCGACTTATAACTCAGAAAATGTGATTTCTTTGACTTGTAACTTTGAATAATATATTTTCCTGAATCAAAAAATATAATTTTTCGTATTTCCATCACAAAAAAATATATTTTTCGGTTTAGAACTAAGAACAACAATTTTTCTGACTTGTATCTTCGAGTAACAATTTTTTTCGACTAGAACTCAGATGATACGATTTTTTTGATCATATTTTTTTACTAATTAGAACTCAGAAAATACGATTTTTCTTATTTTAGATAGAGAAAATTAGATTTTTCGACTTATTACTCAGATTTTTTAGACTTGTATCTCCCAATAATAAATTTTTTAGACTTAAGCACAGAAAAGAGAATTCACTGAATATTTGAATAATACATTTTTTCGGCATAGAATTCAGAAAATACTATTTTTCCTAATAATACATTTTTTTGACTTAAAAATCAGAAAATTCGACTTCTCTTGTCATGAAAATATATTTTCTACTCAATATATACAAAAAAAACTAACTTTTCAGACTTACGACCCCTAATAATATATTTTTTCGACTAAGATTTCAGGACAAAACATTTTTCTTATTTTTGGCTCAAAAAATATATATTTTCGACTTAGAACTGTTTTTCTGACTTGTGACCCTTAATAATAGATTTTTATCGATTTAGAATTCTTAAAATCGATTTTTCTCCGATTATTCCGACTTCTAACTTCGAATAATATGTTTTTTCTGACCGTTGATTCCGAATACTAGATTTTTCCGACTTAGATTAGCTAAACAGCATTTTTTGTATAACTGTCAAAAAAACTTGACATTTCTGCATCTCTATTGATGCGTAAATGTTTACTTTTTTTCGCTGCCAAAATAATTCACAAAATAAACATGAAATATTACTTTTTAAAGGATTTATTTTTAACAGAGTCAATTATTAATTGATTATTCATCATAAAACAATAGTTATTTTGGACTCATTTTTTTCAGACAGGAATAATTTTTGAATGCGATTTTACTGAAAACATTAAATACTATTTTCAAGACAACAGTCGTTTAAAAGCGATATAACTTATCGGGACAAAATGTATTCGAAGTATTTATTTTTAATATATTTTAGACAATGTAAATTCACACTGACAGTTGTACAAAAAATGTTGTTTATTTCGTGTATAAAATTCGTGTTTTCATGGCACATTCGAGAGAATTTTTGGCCTCGATCTGCGTTCTCGGCCAAAAATTAATACTCTCATGTGCCATTAAAAAAATACTCATTTTACGCACTTATTACAAAAATAACTATTTTCGATTTATAAGTCAGAAAAATTTGATAATGTATGTTGCATTGTTACTTTGTAGTCACAATTTTTTGTCTAAATATTTTGAGTCTACGAGTGGTATAGGGAAAATAAATTATAGAGTTCAACTATATGGCAAGGAATATAATTTACCTAAACTTTTAATGAAATAAAAACAAAATAAAATAATAAAAATTGTTTTAAATTTAAAATAACAGGTACTTATTTAAAATTTCTACAAAATTTCTTGCTAAGAAGAGTGTGCTTAAAACTTTTATTTTTCCATCGAAAATAAATTAAAGGATTATTGACTTCCTTAATAACGTAATCTGTTCGAAATCAGTTCGACATTTCCTGTAAATATTTCAAAATGATGGTAAACAAGTAATTTTATTCGAAAATCCATTATCTATATTTTAAATTTAATTTCGAATGGTCGCGGCAGTGGCTCCAAATAGACAAGGGTAGGTACCTAATAACCCAATATTTCTAGGAAAAACCTTAAAAGGACTGCCAACGCTTTGGCTTTACATCCTAGTTGTGCCCTTGAGGGGTTTAATAGCCATTGCCATGCCGTGATGCGGAATTGTACCTAATCTGCTTTTGCCTGGCCGATTCTTAGAAAAAGATCCCCGTGCTTACTACCCGCTATGTCGCCGTCATCGTTAGGCCCACGTTTGGCGGTCATGAATACTTTTGTAATTGCTGTACCCAGTCACAAAATCCCGAAAAAAAGACAACGGTTGGAGGTATATTTTTACTTTCGCGGCAGGATACCCGCCGATTGTCTTGTTCAAGGCATTTCTCGCAATTTGCTAGATATCTACGAAACTTTCAAAATCGATAAATCCCAAGAAAGGATTAAATTGGAAATTAAAATGTTCTTTTTTTATATATATAGAGAATTTAATGGTGGATTAATTCCACAATTTTTATACAAAAAAAATGAACAATAATAGATTTTAATTATGCAGACCAGTGGTGGCTTGTAATTAATTTAAAATGGGTCTTCAATTTTTTTCAATAATTTTAGCACTTGTAAGATCGGTTCAAAACTTTGTACAAGTGCCAATATTCCTCAAATCTTCTTTGGCATCGCCCGTTTTAATACGATTAAATTCAGTTTTTTTTTTACGATTCGTGAGCAATAAAAAGATTGGTTGATAATGGTACATTAACCGGTGTGAAGTTAGCAGTAACTTTTAGCAGTAAAAATAACCGAAAACACCCGATCGGGAAAACAGTGGCGTCCGGCATACAACTATTTTAATTGACAAATAATTAATATACGGTTCAAAATAATCCTTAAAATTGATAAAAATATTTATCCTATGAAGGAAATCAGATCCCAATTTAATTTACATTTAAAAAATTATAAATACATTAACATACACTATAGGTAAACCTTTCTTCGGGTACGTTGAACAGGGTAAAAATCAGTGGCGGCTTGTGGCCAAAAAATTGGGGGTTCACAATAAGAGAATATAAGTCTCAGTAATGATTTAGGTAAAAAGCTTTTAGTG